AAAGCACCTTCTGGCCGGGACCCATGGAAAAGGGTCAGAAATGACCAGACAAGTCTGGGAGGAAAAGAGCAAAATCAAAATCAATATAAACACCGCCATAGTCACCTCCCTACAGGCATCTCACCCACATCTGCCTTAACCAGTCCAGGGTCAGGAAACAAGCGCGGTTTCTTCATCACATGTTTGCTGCTCCATGTGGCTTCCTTAGGTCTCCTCCTTCTCCATCTGCCTTCCTTCTCTCTTCTCTCTCCTTTTTCTCTGCTCAGTTCCACCCTCCTTCTGGGTGGGTCAGGGAACCTGGAACTTCCCTTCTCCTAGGGACCACCCAGTTACACTTTCACCTCTAGGTACCTGCTGTGAAGCTGTTGCCATGAAATACCTTTCTTTCACATACAAAAATTCTTTAAAATTCTTTGACTGTCCTTGTGCTTCCTGAGGGGAACCGGGAGAATCGCTGGTTTCTGGTTTCGAACAAAAGGTTTGTAAATTCTAAAAGATAAAAAACCCTCACCTCTGCAAAGGAAAATGTTTAGCAATTCTTAAACATCACCTGGCTCCCAGCCTGCTAAAACCTCAGCACCAGGAGGTGGAATGGGCTTTGGGGGCTAGTTCCTCCTTTTTCCTGTTTTGCTCTGTTGTTTTGGGTTTGGTGCTTTTAATTTGCCGGGCCTGTGAAAATGAGCCTAACTAGGGGCAGCTGGTGCCCCCGGCTGGGGGGGCCTTCCCTGGCCCTGCCCCTGCGCCTGCCGGTGCCAGTCTTCCTCCCCCTGACCCAGGACTTCTGCCTGGCCTCCCTCCCCCCAGGTATTCCCGCCAGGCCCCCCTGTGCCTAGAGGGCTATGCCCCAGCTCTCTGCCTTGGCTGCGAGCAGAGAGGAGTCTGGAGTTGCTGGGAGTGAGCAAACCCGCAGAAGGGGAGCAGAGCCACCCCCGGGTGTGAGACTGGGGCCCCCTGAATTTGAAGCCAGACGATCCTGAGTTTCAGGTGGGTGTACAGATTGTTTTCTTGTGTTGCTAAAACCTGTTTGATCTGGATTTTCTGTCTCTGAAAACAGCCTTGGATAAAATAATTCCTTAAAGAGCAAAGCCCATGGGAGCCGGGGACTGACCCCACCCAGTGCTTCCAGAAGCACAGGGGGAGACCCCAGCCCAGGGGTGTGTCAGCCTCTTGACCTGGAACTTACTGGCAATGTGGACCCCAGCCCCAGCCCGTCCGGGCACTGCGCCCAAATTTCACCCAGGACTCTGTTGGGTTTCCCTGTTCTACACAATTGCTTTGCAGCACAGAAAATGGACGGAAATCACACAGGTCTAGGGAGTACACTTGTATCCCTGAAAGCGGCAGGGCCTGTGGGGTGCAGGGGGTTACTGCAATGTCCGGGAAGGAGATGACGGTTCGCTGACCCAGGGTTGAGGTCAGTGGCAATGGAGGCAACTCAAGAGAACTAAGAGACTTTTAGGAGCGCCTGAGGGGGCCTTCGTGAGGGAGGGAGCCATGAAGACTCTCCTGGGGGCCCCAGAGCCTTCCTTTATGAGTTTGGGGTCACAAGAAGGTGCTGGGTTTTGGGGGCTGTAGATTTAGTTTGTACACTCTGTGGCTGAGCTCGCCCAGATTCTGGGGTTGGCCCTGACCAGGGCGGGGGCCACACTTGAAGGCCACCCCGGCCAGGGCCAGTGACGCCAGGGACAGCGTCAGCCGCCCTCCAAGAGGCCTGAGGGGCTCTGAGGTTCAAAACGCAGGCGGGGAGGCACGAGGCAGGGGCCTGGGCTGAGCGGCCGCTCTGCAGTGCGGGAAGGCAGCTTCGGCCTCGTGCGTCCCGTCACCTCCGTTGAAAGACGCGCCAGGCCCACAGCGGCCACCGGGGGGCAGCACCCTCGCGCGGAAGCCGGGCGCCCGGGCCGCCGCTTTTCACAAAATGGCACCGACACCCAAGGCCCCTGGGAAAATCTCTGGGGACAGGAACAGCACTGTGAGCCCGGGGAGCAGACGACGGGCTGTTTCTGGGGTAGCTGATTTCTCAAACCCGCTATCTGAGCAGCGCCTAGACCACACTGAAAACTGACCACGGGCAGGCCGGACCCTGAGGAAGGGCCTGTCTGCAGCTCTGCGGGGGTGGCCGGGGAGAGGGGGTACAGGGGGCACCCCCGGGCCTCAACCCACCACCAGCCTGGCGGCCTTCTGCCCCGGTGCTTCCCCTCGATCACTGCCTGTCCCTGGGCCTGCAGTGCCCACCAGCCCTGCCGGCTCACCTGGGTGCCCCAAAACCCACGCCAAGCACCCTCTGCAGAGCATTCACACCGAGGGGCTCCCCCCCCCAAGGGGCGACCGGTTAGTGAGGTGTCTGTCCTGCTCTCTGGACTTGAACTCCAAGGACCAGGTGCATGTGACCCCCTGCACCCCAGAGCCCAACCCCGCACCTGGGCACAGCGGAGTGGAATAAATGCCCTGGAAGACAGCAGGTAAAAGAGCTGGGATACAAAAGCCCTGGGTTCAAACCCTGCACACTCAGAACGATACTGCAGCTTCTGGGGTTGCCGAGGTCACCCCTCAGTGGAGTCAGGTGGAAATGCTTAGGCCGCCAGAAACAAACGTGAGCAGTGAGGAGGAGTGAGCTGGCCGAGACCAGGAGGACGGCAGGCGGCAGGGATGGGGAGAAGTATGGGGCTCCCCGGGCCTGCCGCTCCTCTTAGGTACCCACCCCGCAGCCCGAGACACGGTCATCCCATCCCCCCACAAGACTAGCAAGTGGCAGTGCCAGTGCGGGAACCGGACCAGGGACAGCAGGGGCAGGCCGGTGGCCAGCCACAGTGACGCCTCAGGGGTCTCACCGCCTCTGCCCGCCCAGAATGAGCCTGCTGCCTCCACCTTTCTCTTGTTTACAGGGTAGGACCCTGCTCCCCACCCGCGGAAACCAGTGGAGGAACCCTCCGGGTCCCTGATCTGGGGTGGGGAAGCCCCTCCTTGCCTGGAGCCTGGGGGCTGCCTGGCCACAGTCTCCCACCTGCTGCCGTCCCTGGCCCTGTCTTGCGTAGGGCACAGAGGGTGATGTGAAGTCACACAACAGACAGGGAAGAAACATTGGGCATTTTAAATGACAAATTTCTAGTTGTTTTATTGCATCTACTACTAAAGGCAAGATCTGGAAGGTTTAGCATTTCGCCAGAGCGACATGCTTGATTACAGGGACTACAGCTGAGCTCCGTTTTCTGTGAGTGTCACTTCCAGTCGGGCCACTGTGTCGGATGCCTCCTTCCTCACACACCCACACCATACATCGCTTTCACAGAAAATGGCTTTCCGGATTTTAAGCAGAAAATTCCGCAGCTGAGCCGTAAGGGCGTGAGCGCCCGCTCGCGGGGGGTGGCCCGGGGCACAGCAGGCTTTACCCAAGCGGCGGCTACCAAAGCGGTGCGTTTGCTTTGCTTTGCTGTGTGTGAAGCGTAACGCTGGCACTCGTCTGCCAGCTTCATTCGCTGGGGCTCCGAATCAAGCCCTAGAATATAAAAGGACAAGTTGTTAGGAAGAGGGAGAAACACTGACGGCCCGTGGGCACAGAGGCCGGCGGCGGCCTCACCCACCCCCACGTGCTCTTAGGAACACGGTTTTGGTGCCCACGCGGGCCTGGTCCCCACCCCGCTGACGTCAAGGTCTCCAGTCCGGATGTGGGTTTATAAGCCTTTGTAATGGGCCTCGTCTCCCCAGATGGTTCCTCAAGGCGGGTTGATCTGGTTAACTTAGACGGGTGGGATGGATTGCGACTGAGATGTCACGGGCCACGGGCCACGGGCCACGGGCGGGGAGGGCGTGGCTGCAGGCGGGCGCCCAGCCAAGCCCGGGCCCCGGGCTCCCAAGGGGAAGCACCGCCAGTTCCCTGCGCAAGGCGGGAGCGAGCCTTCTTCCAGGCCACGGGACGCTGCGGTCCTGCGGGAACGGCCAGCCCCGGCAGGAAGGGCCGCAGACGTGGGCACCCCAGCATGGAGCAGTCGGCGCTAAGGGCAGCACCGAGGACCCCCGGGTGCCCGGTGAGGGCAAACTGCAGAGGCTCCCGGTGGGCAGAGCGGGAGCTGTGGCACGTGGAGGCCACGCGGGTGCCTCAGCCGAGACTGCGACGCCCCAGGGGACAGGGAGAGGGCAGCATGGCAGAGGGCCAGAGCCGGGCCAGAGCCCCCCGCAGCCGACGGGACTGCTGGGGGGGTCCCCGGGGAATGAGTTGATGTCACACATGCGACAATATGGAGAAATTCCAGTCACAGCTGGCGTCATTAGTATTAGTGTTATTAGTATTCTAGTAGTGGAGCAAATGGATACAAGGAAGACAATATCAATGAACAGGAAGGACATGTGGGGGAGCCACAAAAGGACCTGTATTGGGGCGAGGAGGCAGTAAGAATGGGGATTGGAAGTGCTGAGCAGGCGTCAAGATCAGGCAATAGAGATGAAAGATGGAATCTGTGGTATTAGCGGGTGTAAAAGTCCATTGCTGGTCCATTCTTCGGACCAGCAAGTGTCCGAAGAAGCAGACGTAAAGGCGTGAGGTCAGGGAGCGCCGCACCTTGCCGAGAAGCAAGGGAGGTGGGGGAGGGGCAGATATGTTTTCGTGCGATCACGGGGATGAGGTGAGCCAGGAACGCAGCTAGAGGCTGGCCAGGCTTGGAGGGTGCAGGGGTCTGGGCTGACCACGCTTCCAGGCCCCGGTGTCTGGGGGTGACCCCCAAGTCAGCCCCGCCTTGAGAGGTTCCGGGAGGAGGGGGGTGGGGCTCCGGCACAGGCCAGGTGAAGGCGAGTGGAGGTTACGTGGAGGGTGGGTGCGGTCGCCCTGGGCCCCGGTGCTGTGAGAGCGCCCGGCCGGCGGTCGCACCGTCGTGCTTGTCCTGCTGTCTCTGGCCGTGACAGGCAGGCGATGGGTCGGGTAGTTACCTATCCTCATTGTCGCCTCTGCCCCGCGTCCTCTAGGAAAACAAGCCTTGCCCCCTTGCCCAAGCCCTGCGCAGGCCAGGCCGCCTGAGCCTCCTGCTGGCCTGAGCCTTCCCTAGACGGCCAGAAGAGGGCGCTCCCTGGTGGCGCCACGGGTCAGGGCGCAGCTCTGCAGCCTGGCCACTGCCGCTCCAGTGCGAGTTTGATCCCCGCCCTGGAGCTGACCCACAGGGCGCGGCAGCCCTCTCCTGACCCGCCCGCTGCTCCCCTCAGCAGTGGACTTCGTCCATCTGCCTTTTCCGCTCCCCGCTCTGGCTCTGGTGAATCCTCTCACCACCCCTGCACCTCTGGCCTGTACCCCAGTTCTCTATGCACAAATAATAAATCTTTGAGAAAAAAAAAAAAGATTGCCAGAAGAGATGAGCCTGCCCAGAGAAGGAAGAAAGCAAACAACTAAGTGGAACTCACTCACTCTGATCGGGCCAATGCTAAACCCAGAAGTTGGTTTCCACCACTCTTTTATACAGGGGCTGGGTGTTGCGGTAATCGTTGTGGAGGGTCTTGTTATTGTGCCCCAGTAAGGTGTTCTCCAGCTTCAGGACCTGTGGGTGACAGGGTGTGGCATGGAGGGGAAGAGGCACTGGGTGACTTAGGAACTTCGCAGTGGAGGGCCACCCTGCTGGCCTAGGGGTTATGTCTAGCAACATCGCTGCTGCAGCACGAGTCCCATCCCCGGCCAGGGAGGGACCCCAGGGCACAGCAGACCCCTCCTGTCTCCCGCTGCTCCCCGTAGCAGTGGATTTCAGTGGATCTGCCTGTTCTGCTCCCCACTTTGTCTCTGGAGAATTTTCTCAGCCCCACACTGCTGACCTACACTCCAGTTCTTCTAAATAAATAAATACTTTTTAAAAATAAATTTGCAGTTGAACTAAAGCTTGGATTTCTGAAACCCCAATAAAGCAATGATGAGACACCTCCAATCCCGAGGAGGTTCTGGGTGCCACATGACAGCAGAATATTCGTGCATCCTTCCAACCGTCTCTTTCAATCCTTTGCTGTGAATATTTGCTCATTGCGGAGAAAGAGGTAATCAGAGGCTATCAGATGGAAGGCTCAATTTTTGTTTTTACGAAAATGTCTATCTTTTGTCTGTTGTCCTCAGACATGTTTGCTACGCATTCAGTTCTGGGCTGGCTATTTCTTGCTGTTGTTGGTGTTCTGAAAATAATTTCCCACTATTTTCTGACTGTCCTTGTCACTGTGCTGAATCAGCTCTTGTTCTGATCATGGTCCTGTTCATTCTGGCTGATTTTTTAAAAGATTTAGTCTTTGTCTTGAATGTTTTGGAACTCAAGGTGATAGGCTTAATGTGGACTTTCTTTTATTTGCGTTGGCTCATTGGGCTTCCTCACTCTGACTTGGTGTCTTTCAAAGCTTCTGGGCAAGTTCCCATCACTATCTCATCAGGCCTGCCTCTTCTCTCTCCTGCCTTCCTTCCTTTCAACTAAGACTCCTGTCAAGCCTTTCCACTATATTCTGTCTCTTTACTTACTTTTCATACATCTATCTTTCTCTGTGCTATTCCCTAGATAATTTCCTGAGCTCTGTTTTCCAGTTTTCTAATTTTTTCTTGAACTGTATCTAACATGCTATTGAACACATTCATCCGATTGTCAATTTTAGTTACTTGTTTCCATTTCTAGAATTTTGCTTGTTTATTTTTTCCAAGTTTACTTGGTCATTTTTATATTTTTTCTGCACTTTCCTAATATTTAAAACTCTTATTCCCTAACACATATGAAACATTCTTATTTTATATTAATTGTCTGTGTTTCCTCTCTATAGGTTCTATTCTGGTGATTCTCAAAGTGTCTTTTCCTTCTGTATTTTGTGATCTTTTAAAATTAAGCTTGTTTCAGGTAAATTTATTTATGAACATTTTAGCATTTTCCCATAGATGATTTACATGTGCTTCTCCTAGGCATCAGGAGGCAACATTTTTATGTGTGGGCATCTTTGATGAGAGGTCTTACCATCTTTTCTAAAGTAAGGAAATGAAGAGTTTAAGAAACATTGGCTCTTAAGACAGAACACCCCTGAGAAATGTCAGCTGTTCTTTGCAGCCTCAGTAACACTCATCCTTATTCACTTCAACAATTACCATGCACCCATACTAGGCAGGGGGACAAGAGATGACTAATACAGCTGCTTTCTTCATATGCATTTTAGCATGGTAGAAACTGAATATGAAGCTATCCATCCTTTTTTTAAATTGACCCCTCGTGACTTTTATTAAATTACTGTGTCTGTTGTGACTACCATTGACAACATGGGTTCACACCCCCACAAATGTAAGTTTTCACACTCCGCTCATCACCAAAGCACCAATGATCCTCCACTGCAGTCCACTGGGTCCCTCCCCACTTTGGTCCCACCCCCCTTTCTAGCAGTCTTAGTTCTCTGATCACATTTTAGTGTGTGTGTTTTGTTTTGATTTTGTCTGTTCCTTCATTGTGTTTCTATATCTATGGATGAAGTCATCCAGTATCTGTTTTTCTCCTTCTGACTTATTCCAAGCTACCCTTCTTGCATGAAGCCATTTATGAAGTCAGATGTTCCATCAGGACAGGGGTGTCATATTCCAATAGCCTAGAACAGTGCCTGGTGGGAGTGGCTCTTACCATGTCACTCCTCCCCTGTAGCTTGGCTCAGTCTTTTTCTGCATCAACTACAAGTCCCTCGGATTCCCAGGTGCCTCAGTTTACCCACTTGCGCAGGTGAGGCACTGCAACCCTGCACGCGGCTAACACCACAGACATCCAGGTGTTGGCAGTAGGTGAGATTTGGGTGAAGCAATGCCACGTCTTACCTGCGCTTTGGAGAGCTTGATATGATCTTCTAGCACATACCAGTTGACGTTCTCAGTGCAGGGAGGAGTGGTGAGTGACCCGTAGTATTTGTAGTAGTGTTTTGTGTCCTCAGGCAGCATGTCAAGAATGTTAATGTCTGCTAGAACTGTGCTTTGTCCTGGTCAAAGGGACCAAACATAAAGGAATGTTCAAGACCACTGGAGAACAGCTCGGACCTCACCATGTTGGAAGCTCCTGATTCAATCAGAACAACATAAAAACCTTACTGGGAAATATTTCCCTACTTCGCTGCTTTCTAGAAGAGTTCAAGAGCAAAGGAGAGAGAATCACACAGCCGCTTCTTACTGAGTAGACCTGGCTGTGTGCTCTCTCTCCTCTAAGTCTGCTTCCTCTCTGTAAAGAGGAGACAACCAACGTTCTGAGGGGAAGGTGATATGTTAATAAAGTGCAGGCTGAGTCAGCAAATAGGGAAGTCGTCATCATCATCACCATGCATTGCATATGTTTCATGATAAATGGGTGAAATTAATTAGGGATCTCATGGACTTCTAGGTAAGTGCCCGCAAAAGAAAAAAACAAAAATCCCTTGATTTGGGCTCAGTTAGATGTGGGTGGTCAGGGGCCAGACAGGCAGAGACAGGGCCGAGTCCTGAGCTCTTCTTGCCATACCCATCGGGACCACGGTCAGCCCCTGGGGAGTGTGGGGAGAGGGACGCCCATGGGGCTTCAGGACCTCCACAGCACAGCAGCCATCAGCACATCTAGATGGCTCTTGTAGTGTGACATTTTCACATCAGTGTCACTGAGCCCTGAAGTTCAGAGTGACACCATGCCAACATGGAGTTGAGTTGAAATTTTGCCTCCCTTTCCCTGAACTTTCGATATTTTCATGGCTAAAGCGGTAGAGTTTTGATATATACAAATAGGCTTGTTTAACCAAGGCCTTCACCTCTAGTAGTGTATAATCCCACTTGTAGGCTGAAGATTTATAAATGTTATTGTTAGTGGAAAGACGTAAGTAAACAACTTTCTAAAGGACTCTTGCATAAATTTAGTTTCATGACTATAAATTTAAGTGAGTCAAGAACCAGATCATGGTGAAGCTACCAAGGAAAACTGTACAGTGGCTTCTCAAAAAATTAATTACCGTATCTTTACTCGGGACATACGCCCCAGAGAATTGAAAGCACAGACTGGTAGGTATTTGGGCAAAACCACTGCTACCTCACTCACCTGGGTACCTAATGTCACTCAGGTGTTTAATGAAGTCGCTGTAATAGGTGTTTTCAGTATAGTCTTGGATCTGTAGGAGAAACACAGAGAAGTCAGCCTAAATGGGGGAGCCCCCCCCCCAGGAACTGCCTCTGCACATCCAACTGTTTAGTGTCCTGCTTGACCGAGCAGAGCTTCAAGGACCAAGACAGCTCACCAGCTGTGCTGGGGGGGTGATCTGGATGTTCTTTGCCCCCAAACACCGAACTCACCATCTCTTCCAGGGGAACAAGAGCTGCTAGGACCTTCCTCAGGGAAGGGCCAGAAGTCATTGTTCACACAGCCTCGGGTGCTGAGGGGCAGTGCCAGTCAGACTCTTCGTGAGGGAGAGAGTTTGGCTCACCAGTTGGCCCGAGTGAAGTTTTCATTTTGTTTATAATCCACTCACTTTTCCGTGTCTCTCAGTTGAGATTTATAATCTTCATATTTATATTTAGGTAATTGTCACCATCTTTTCCTCTAACACTTTGAACGTACTTTCTGTCAATCCTTTGACTGTGGATGTTGTAGTTCTAAAGTACAATCTGAGTCCACTCAGAGTCCGTTTCTGTTGATTGCTCTCCTGCATGCCCAATGGCTCACCACATTTTCCTACTTTTTTGCATACCCAACTTTTTTGTTGAAAACTGGACATTTTCGATAAAATGAAGTAGCAAATCTGGCTTCTGATTTCTTAAATGGACCTGGGTTGTTCCGTTTTGTGTGCCTGTTCGGTCTCAATCTGTAGGGTATACTCACGTATGTGCATGTAATGTCTCTGCTCCAATCTTAAATCCTTTTTGCCCTGGATTTCTAGGCACCATCAAGGACCGGCATAGCTCTGATCCGTCAGTGACTGGCAGACTTGGCTCTCCAGCCCTCGGTGCTCGGGATTCGCGCCCTCTGTGGTGGCCTCTGTGAGGGCAGCGAAGCACAGCCAGCACTGAACCAGCTCTGAGTCTGCCTCTACTTGCACTTCCCCGCTTTGGGGAAGTTTCCACAGATCTCCCAGGGCTCTCCGGGGCCAGGTCTCCCTGTCTCATCCCCGTGTCCCCTGCCCCCTGCCCTAGCCGGCCCTGCAACGGCACTTCCCGGGCTGCCAAGTTTCCCTCTTTTTTTTCTGTCTTTTTTGCTGTTTGCTACGCTTCTAAGAGCCTCGCGGCATGGGTGTTCAATTTGCACCACAAATCAGTCAGTCCCCCACCCTGGGAAATAAAGCGACTGGTTTTCCTGTCCGGATAAAACTATCTTCTGTCACGCTAGAGGCTGGGGCATGAAACTGCCTCCATCAAGAAGCCCAGACTCCCTCTGCTCTTACTCGAAAGTCTGCAATGCCGTGTGGAGCCTTCTGGAGGGAGCTTTGGAAATTTTATCCAACTTAATACTTGTTTGGAGAAGACTGGAGTTGGTGATTGCTTCTTACCACCCCGTGATAAGGCCCACCCTCCAGACTTTCGTAGAAAAACAGAGGTGTTTTTTGTTTTTGGAGTGTCTGTTGCTTGCTGGGTGGGTGGCAAGCTGCCCTTGCCCGCAGGCCGGCTCACCCCAGTCCACCCTTCTCTGATCCCAGTGCTCTGTCAGCTTGTCCACGTTGCCCGAGGTCTTCAGGGTTGATAACAGAAGGAACACAGCGGCTGTGAGCAGGGCTGAATGAAGGGTCCATCTTTCCCCCAGTCAGGGTTTCCAAGAACTGTGAGCTCAGGGGCAGGAAGAAGACCCCACACCCACCCAGAACACCTGCTTGGACAGCAATCTAGAAAGTCAAACGTGTGTTCTTGACCCACCTCGACGAGTGCGGCCACCACAGCCAACCCGTCCTGGGCACTCTGGGCTACAGCGAAGCTGCCGTACTTAGCATTGTAATGAACGATGTGGATCTGTGGGGCAAGAGAAGACATGTCAAGGGAGTTCACGCAGATGTGGACTCCAGCATTGCAGGTTCTCAGAACAGGAGGCAAGACATGCTCCATCCAAGGCCCCAGACTCTCCTACCCAGCCAACTCCAACCTCCCTTCCCCTCCACTGGGGTACAAGACTATCAAGGCCAGACACTCCAAAAACAAACAATTATGAACCAGGGAGCTCCTGCCAGGGAGGGGAACAGAGAGGGAGCAGAAGGAGGGAGGCATGGGGGCGCCGTGGTGATGATGGGAGCGGAGGGAGGAAGCAAACGTTGTCATAAAATGAACAATGATGTAAATCGATATATTTTAAAATTGATTGTCTTTTCTAAATGGAAATTAAAGCATTAATCAACTAAAAAAAAAAAAAAGTCACTCTCCAAGACCAGAAAGAGCGTGAGTGGGGTTCTGGGCATTTCCCTGACCGCACCCCCACCCCACCCCCACAGAGTCGAGGAATCCTGGGAGGCCAGGGGGTCCCTCCTGAGTGGGCACAAGCCCCGGCCCCAGAGACCACCGTACACCTGCGCGCAGCCTCAGGTCAGATCTAAGCAAGAGAAGGGACCCAGAAAACCAAACACAGAAACGGGCTTGTGCACACTTTGGGTCAGCCTGTGTGTTCAGGGGGCCCCCTTGAACCCCTAAGATCAATGACTAGCTTGGAAGGGATGGAAAATAAAGTCAGCCTCGGGTGTGGCTCAGCTGCCGCCACTGTGCCATCCTCATGGCTGTTTTGATACGAGACGAGGGGTTTGGAGGAAACAGGCCCACTCGGGCTCCCCAAGTTACCTCGGCCACGTAGCGCATCCCGTTGATGGTGTGCTCGGAGCCGCTGAGCTCCTTGGATGCGCCACCCCAGTGCAGGTGCATCTGCTGGGCGAAGTAGCGGGTGCCGTCGGGCGCGATGAAGTGCATGGACTGCGGCAGCGTGATCTGCACTGGGGGGTCGGGGGACAGGTGAGACGCGGCGGGCACCTGCCGGCCAGCCCCTCCCTGGGCGCCTGCTTCCTGCGACAAGTTGTCCCTTAGGCTGGCCCGAAATGCCGCGAACAGGGCCGCCGTCGGGGTGGAGGGGACTGGCCCCCGCAGAGGGGACCCGCCCTGAGTAGAGTGGGCTGAGCCAGCGCCCCGCCCAGGAGGCTCAGCCCTCCGCCTGACCGGAGCCGACAGACAGCGCCACCAAGCGGCGTGTTCCACGGTTCCAGGAGGCTCAGCCCTCCGCCTGACCGGAGCCGACAGACAGCGCCACCAAGCGGCGTGTTCCACGGTTGCCCTGAAAAGCTGTGATCAGTGGGTGCGAAAGCAGAATCCAGGGCCTCCCAGGCGGCTCAAAAGTTGAGTCTCAGCACGTGAGGCTATGGCAGCACGAGCTTGCTCCCCACCAGGGAGTGGCCCGCAGGGCGCAGCAGACCTCTCCTGTCTCCCCGCTGCTCCCCTCAGCAGTGTACTTCATCCATCTGCCTGTTCTGCTCCCCACTCTGTCTCTGGGGAATCCTCTCACCCCCCACCTCTGGCCTGCACCCTAGCTCTTGTGTGCATAAATAAATCTTTTTTTTTTAAAGATGTATTTATTTGTGCATACAGAACTGGGTTACAGGCCAGAGATGCAGGGGCGGTGAGAGGCTTCACCAGAGACAGAGCGGGGAGCAGAACAGGCAGATCCACTGAAACCCACTGCTGAGGGGAGCAGCGAGCAGGTCAGGAGAGGTCTGCCGTGCCCTGTGGGTCACCTCCGGGGTGGGGATCGAACTCATGCTGAAGTGGATTTAGCTTCTCAGTGCTGCACTTTAGCCCGCTGCACCACCAGGGAGGGCCCAATAAATCTTTATCAAAAAAAAAAAAACAATCCCACTCTCCACCTCTGGCCAATTTGGGGACTTGCCCTCAGTGTAGGAGAAGGAAGTGGGGTCTCTCAGGACTATTCTGATGCCTTTCGCTATTGTTTGTGAGGCCAGGCTGAGGTCGCTGCCTTCATCATGATGTGGCTGAGATTCGACCCCGTGGAGCTTTCTAGAAGTAGCCCAGTCAGCCACGCTGCTCTGTGGAGGAGCATCCCTGCAGGATGCTCTTGTTTGGACCAAGAACTGGGTGTGGACGGACATCACCATTCCCAGCTCCATTCGCCTTCAGAGACAAGTGACCTAGTTCTGCCACCAGTCGTGAGCTCACAGCCTCTCGGTGCGGGGCGTAACTGGCTGTGATTATCAATGGCCGCGTTAAAATGTCAGGCTCTTGCCCGTAGGGAAATGGATCCCTCCCAGCAGCCCCTGCCCTGGAGACAGCCAGCAGGGGAGTCGCGTGGTCAGACAAGTGTTCGCTTCACTGGCTCGGGCGAGAAACCTGTCTCCCTTTAGAGTGAGCCAGTCAAGAGAGACCTGAGCGTGACATCTGACAGACAAAGAAGCATCTGTGACAATGAAAAGTCTCAGCCTCGTCCCTCGCAGCACTGTCTGAAACGTGGGCAGGACCTGCGGGGGACAGGTGCTTCGTGCTTAGCGCCTAAACATCGCTTCTCACCTGAAAAAAACTGAAGAGGCTTCAAGAGGAAGGCGTGCAAGGGTGTGCTGTGCCGAGAGGACCCAGCACCAGCCCAGAACAGTCTAAATGAACAGTTAGCACACGTGAGCAATAGCAGACATCCTGACAAGACTGCTCCCCGAATCTACTTCCTGCAGATGGGATGTCTCCGTGCTCGACAGATGTTGACAGCACCACGCGAGCCAGACTGGAAATGGCAGCAACCCTGGGCGTGCCTCTGAGCCCAGGGATGCCAGGTGATATTTGGAAGGTGATGCCAAGATCAGCTTAGTGAGCCTTCCAGATTCCAAGTTGATTTAGACGCCAGAAGGGGTTTGAAACAAATTTAACCAAGTTCTTATCAGCCCAGAAAAATCACCCGACTGGAGCATCTTCTGCACCCAAGAAACAACAAAGGATCACGATTATAAAATTTGGACCTCCCTGGTGGCCTAGGGGCTGAGTCTCAGCACTATCACCACAGAGACCTTAGTCCCATCTCCCCAGGGAGTGGCGCACAGGGTGCAGCCGACCTCTCCTGTCTCCCCGCTGCTCCCCTCAGCAGTGGGTTTCAGGGGATCTGCCTGCTCTGCCCCCCACTCTGTTCTGGTAAATCCTCTCACCCCCATACCTCTGGCCTGCACCCCAGTTCTTGTACGCATAAATAATTTTTTTTAAGTTGTTGAAGGATGTTGGGGCCTTTACTACCCCATGTCAAGATTTACTTCAAAGCTGCAGTAACCCAGGCGGCAGAGTGGTCTAGGTGGGAGAAGGCACAGTGCAGCCATGGAACAGAACAGGGAGCCCAGAAACAGACCCCCACAAACAGACACGCTGATCTTTGACAAAGGAGAGCGAGTGAGACAATGGAATCTCTTCAACAGGGAAAACTGGACGTCAGGAGGAGGGTGAATCTCAACACAGACTTCACCATGACGAACTGAGAACAGATCAAAGAATGCAAAGCTATAAAATCCCAATCAGATGACAGAGGAGAAAACCTGGGTGACCTTGGGTATGGTGATGCTATTTCAGGCACAACATCAAGGTCACACAATCCATGAAAGAAAGAGTCGAGAGGCTAGGCTTCATTACAGTTAAAAACTCCTGCAGGATGGAGTATAATGGACCAGGCAAGAAAATAACAAGAATAATGAACAACCGTATACCAGAGACATTTTGCGGGGTGGAGTGGGGAATGGGATCAAAAACGGGGGGGGGGGGGGAAGTGCACGGGATTTTGGTGAGGGCACATGGGTGACTTGGTGATGGGAAACCCGCGGGGATGACAATTGAGATGAAAAAAAAATGTACAAAATGATGTAAAAATAAACTGTTATTAAAAAAAAACAAACTGCAGAAGACATTATCAAGAAATCAGAAAGCAAGTCACAGGCTGGGGGGAAATATTTGGAAAAGACACCTGATAAAGCACTGTCTCCAGAATACACAGTGAACTGCTGATACTCAACGATCAGGAAACGACCCAATGAAGAAGTGGGCCAAGGCCTTTAAACAGACACTTCATCACACAACAGGAGCGAGCGGGCCCTCCCAGGCCACTGGTGTTAAAGACTCAGCACTGTGACCACTGGGAGCCCCCGCAGCTTGAGTGCGACCCCCGGCCAGGGAGGGACCCCCAGGGCGCAGCAGGCCCTCCTGCCTCCCCGCTGCTCCCCTCAGCAGTGGGTTTCAGTGGATCTGCCTGTTCTGCTCCCCGCTCTGTCTCTGGGGAATCCTCTCACCCCCATGCCTCTGGCCTGTACCCCAGTTCTTGTGTGCATAAATAACACCATGCCTTTGGGGAACTGGGAACTAGAACCCCACTGAGGTGCCGCTACACTTATGTTGCGATGAGCAGAACCAGCCCAGCAACAGCGCTGAATGCCGACGTGGGGTGCCAAGGGCTGCCGCCGTCTCCAGCCGCGCTCCTTGGCGCCACGCGTAGGTCTGTGCACGTCTCGCCAGACCCCACTCACGGGGTGCCCAGCAGCCTCCTCGCTGTTGCCTGAACCTAGAACCCGCCAAGGCGCCCTTCAGGAGTTACGAGGGTGAATAAACTGGCCCCTCCAGACAGCGGGTGGTATCCGTGTTGAAAAGAAATGAGCTGTCAAGTCATGAAGACACAGCGGAACCGTAAGTGGAGGTTACTAGGTGAAAGGAGCCAATCTGAAAAGGAAACAGAGCTGAGTCCAGGAGTGTGACATTCGGAAAAGTCACCTTTGGCTGCAGAGAAAAGCGATGGTTGGGGGGGGCAGGAGTGGACAGGAACAGGCCGCGCATCAAGGGCTTAGGGCAGCAGAGTGACGATGCCACGCCCGGAACTGTGGCCACAGGCCTGGCGCCTCCGTCCTACCCCCAGGACACGCGGCCGCAGCGGCCGTCACGCGCAGACATGGGCTCATCCTTCATGTACGAAAACGTCCCTTGCTGATGGGTGACCTGATCGCGGGGATGGGGCTAGCCGGGGGCAGGGGTGCAGGGGGGTCTCTGGACTTGCGCTCGGCTGCGTTCTGGCCCTGAAGCTGTTCTGCAAGTGAAGCCTATTAAAACACACAGGCTCCAAGCCATTAAAAGAATCCTTCAAAATAGACATTAGCAGATGTTTAATTCTATCAGGTGACTTTGTTGGTGAACTTTGTGTGCAGCCAATTTCCAGTAGACTTAGAAGGGAGTAGACTGGGGGTTCTGTTTCCCAGGGGTTGAGCTGCGACCGTGTTCGGGGCGTGCTGAGAGGGTGTCGCCAGGACAGAGATTAGCTAAATGCTCTCGAAAGGTCAAGTATGGAAACCAAGTGTTTTGCATCCAAAAACCTTAAGTCACGGCAGTGCATTCTAGCACTGGGTGGGGGGGGGGACCCCAAAGGCCGGCCGCCAGGCTCCAGAGAGGCCAGCCACACCCCAGGACGGGTGCCCTGCTGACCAGGAGAGACAGCACAGCCCGGAGTGCCCGGCTCTGCCTCAGGCCACCCTCAGGCTCCTCAGCGCAGAGCCCTGGTGGTGTCCGGGGCCCCACGCAGGCTGGCCCTGCCCTCAGCTGCTGCCCTTGGCCCTCTGACATGAGGGCCTCTGCCCGGGGAGCAAAGACAGGGCTGAAGCTCCAGCCTGCTCGGAGCTTCAAGGTGACTTTGGGCAGCGGTGCTTGACGTGAAAGATGAAATGAGGCTTTTGTGAGCTGGGAGGCAGAAGCCGTGCCAGGCACAGAGCTCAGCCCCCACACCTCACCCCGTCCTGCGCCAAGGGCGGCCAAGTCCTGAGCGCCAGGCACCTGCGAGAGGGGAGCGCTGGCCCTGAGGCCGCGGGCGGGAGCCAAGGGGCCGGGGCAGTGGGGGGCTCACCCAGGCATCGGGGTGTGGGCCTCCAGTGCCACTGGGACTCCCCACCTGAGCTATCCCCGCCTCCGCAGGGCCCGGCTTTCTGCCGAGAGAGCGCCCCGCCCGTGTAACCTGGGTTGTCACAGACGCTGAGGAGGTGAACGCCCATGTGGACAGGCAGACCCTGTGCGGGCCCAAGGACTTTGCAGTGTCCAGTGCAGGCTTCTAAGGGGGCTCCAAAGACCCAGTTCTCCCCGCCTGACCCTCTTTCTAGGAGGGGACAAAAAGCAGCAGCTTCTTTTCACCCTGTGGGAAACAGCACCCTGGCGGGCGCTTTGAGCTAATGAGACCCCCAGAGATGGAGGCGGGGGCAGAGCGCCCGCCGCTGGGCCGGCCCGGGCCTCAGGGCATGGCCACTGCCCATGGACCTGAGTCCACGAGCTCGGGGAGAGGCCAGCTGGGGTGAAGACAGGCTCAGGGAAAGGCCGGGGGTCGCCTGGCCCCAGACTGCCCTCGGGGCCCCGCCGCCGCCCCCCCGCTGCCCAGCCCCGCGGACTCGCCCTACCTGTGTGGCCGTTGTTGGTCATGGGGAACGCGCCCTCCTGGTCCCCGTAGCCGTGCAGGATCAGGGGCCTCAGGTGGGGGTTGTAGCGCGCCTTCTTCTTCTGCAGGTTGACGGGCGACTGCCTGTGCCCCCCGCAGGCGGGGTACTTGCTGGCCCAGTGCTCTTCATCCAGCTCCCCCTCTGAGACGGCAGAGTCAGAGGGCCGCCCGCAGGCCCCAGCCTGCAGCCAGCAGAGCTCCGGGCCAGGGTGGCCGGGAGGGCTGGACTCAAGCTCAGCCCCAGAGCCAGGGGCGCTGACTTGGGCCCGCCCCGCCTCCCGCGGGGGGCTGCTGCTGCCTCTCAGACCCTGGGGGCCCTCTCCCCACCACCGCTGACGGCACGTGGTACTTCCCGGCCCCCCGCAGGCTCAGGCCCCCGCTTGTCTTCACTCCGGAGCTCTTTTAGGATAAGCTCGGTGAAGACCCTGGTTCCCACACCCCCAGTGCAAGGGGGTTCCAGTCTGCAGGTGACCTCGAGTGATTAAAAAATGTCAACGTCTGTTTGCTTTTTTAAGGTGGGGGCGAGAGAGATGACAGCGTCGTTGCTGGGGTGACTCGGCTCCAAACAGCCCCAGGCAGCTGAGCGCCCCACTGCCAGGCCTAGATGGTCTCCAGGGATATGTCTGTTTCGGGGCCCCTCACAGCTCCTGGGCTTTGCCATCAGCAGAAAGTTCTCTGCCTTTCTCTTCACTATTTAAAATGCAAACCCATTGTTAAACAAGGTGCCCTAAAGGCAAGAAATCAAGGCTCCCTCCTGGACCAAAAGGCAGTGTGGGGCGTCTCTCAGGTGAAAGCGTCTGCTGCTGCCGCTGCCCCCCAAGTTCTGTGGGCTCCGCTGGCTTTGCAGAGGCCAGGACCTGGGGTGCCGACCCTGGGTGACAGGGGTTCTTTCTCCCTCCTGTCCTCCCCAGGACCAAGGGGCCAGAGGAGGGAGCCCAGGGCCCCGTGGGCTGGCAGAGGAGGCGATCAGAGCAGGTCACCCGCCTGCTGCAGTGGTCACTGTCTGGCTCCCCACCATGTCCTCGGTTCTGCTACACTTGACTGAACGGGATGCCAGAGAGCGGGCTCCACACCCAGGGACCTGCTGGCTCTCAGGACTGTCTGGGGGTCCCCTCTGTCTGACAAGAGGGGTACAGGCGTCCTCTTCCTAAACACGGAAGGGGAGCTTTGTGATAGGGAATTCAGTCTCCCTATCTTTGGCGGAAATGTGGGCCAGAACCCAAGCTAAATACGGGGGTTCAATTTTGCATGTCAAAAGTGGGGTTTGGGCAAGCCACAGCCAAAGTGGGGGTGGGGCAGGTGGCTGAGGTTCTGGGTTCTGGCAGCCTAGACACTCTGGGTCAACTTCTGAAAATGCAGGGGGAGAGCACGGCGGACCCCGCCTGCCAGGAAGCAGCAGGCCATCGACCATTGCTCCCACAGACCAAGGAAGCAAGTGGCTTTGCCACCAGAGGCCGAGGGGGCGGGGTGCTCAGCCCTGAAAGCAAAATCTACCTGGGACTTGGGTCTGGGGACCCCTTTTCCTAAAGCAAGGTGTAATTGGCACATTGTCTGCACAGAGACCTTGAGCCCACAGAGAGCAGAACCCTGCGCAGGGGCGCGCCCTTCCCCTCGGAAGGTGGCGGGGCGACGTCGGCCCCGGGGCCTCACCTGAGTAGGTCCAGTCAGCGTGCTGGGCCTGGACCCCCAGCAGGAACAGAGACAGCAGGGGCACCAGAGTCTTCATCGTGCCGCTGCGCCGGAATCAGAACCGCCTCAGAACGTTTGTCTTTTAAAAGCTCAGACGCTGTAAATAACAATTGATCAAACCTGACTGACTGATCCCCTGCACCTCAGCAATGACAGCTCCCCACAAAGGCCCTTCTGACTCGGCCCGCCTGGCCAGGCTCCGGGCAGGCGCCCCAGCCCTCCAGCGTCACTACCACGTCCAGCGAGCGTGTCCACGCACCGTGTCCACACTTGGGAACACTCACACTGCAGCCTTTGTGGCGAGTGACCAGGGAGGAGCAGAGGCAGTGGCCCTGCCCCAGACCGCGCCACTCCTGAGCCCTGCTCGTGTGAGAGGGGCGGTGTGAGCTGGCGAGGGTCAGACCCCGCTGGGCATGTCCTGCCTGTCTCTGCGGTGGACACCGGCCCCTGCGGGCTGCCCCTGCCAGGGGAATGGGGAACGGGCCTGGCCCTGGGTGGGCAGGGAGGGAGAGTCCTTCCTGGACACCCTTGTGTTCTTCTCACCCTAGGCCCGTTGACCCCGAGCCCCAGCTTTTGGGCCACACCCTGTGGGCCCACATACACAGTGGACGTTCCCCCGGGATGATCCATCTGGACAGCTGCAGCCGCTGGGCCACACCCAAACCAATCACATGTCAGATGTGCGGGTTACCTAATCCTTCTGTGTCCACTTGGATAAACAATCCCTGAAATTAGCTGAGGGACAAATTTTGCGCCTATACCTGCTGACAGGTCGGTATTGCCCGCGCCCTTCAGGGAGGGCACGGGCAGAGGGCGGGAGGCATCGCCGGCCGGAGTCCAGGGCTGCCCTGAGCCAGAGAGCCACGTTCACCCCCATCCGGGGAGGCTGGCAGGGCACAGGGGTCACGAGCTCAGCCTGGCGCGGAGCGGGGCTCCCGGGCCAGGTGACAGGGCTCAGCTCGCTGCTCTGCCTCTTATTCATGGTGACCTTGGCCAAGGGACACAACCAGTCGTGCCTCCGTTTCCCCGTTTACGGACAGCGCCGGCCTCCTGCAGACCCAGCGGCTAAAGCACCTGGCTCAGAGCAGGACGGGCCCGTGGCCTCGCGGTCTGCTCAGACCTCCGGGGAAGGGAGGAGGAATGGCCCCCTAGTTAGTGGGGGAGCTAGAGCACAAGTGAGGGACCCCTTCGCCCAGGCCTTTCTGCCTTGTCAGCAATGAGCAGGCTGCTGGCTGGTCTTCGCTGGAGGAACCCAGGTGGCCATCCAGAGGCAGCCTTGCCGACCAGCAGACCTAGCTCTGGGGCAGCAAGGCTGGACCCCGACCTGTACACGGCCAGGGCTGGACAGCCCCTGGCAGGAACACACAGACGGAGCCGCTGGGCCTGCCTGGGGACAAGGGGCCGAGTAGGGGGCTGCAGGTGGAGCCGGGCAGCTGGGGTCAGCGTCGGTGGGCACAGCTGGAGCCAGGGCATCAGGAGGGCCTGAGCCTCAGAGAGGACAGAGGTGCTCGGAGCGAGAGGAGGCAGGAGTAGGGGCTCAGAGGAGGGGCCTCACTGGGCGGGGCGTGTCCTGCTCCCGCTGGCTCTCAGCCCCACTTCCCACAGGGTCCCCTCCTTTGGGTGGCACTGGGGGGCCCAGGGAGCCCCACAGCATCCCTGCAGGGAGTGCACGCGTCCGGTTAGCTGCCCCACCCCGGCATGCCATGGCCACCGCGTCATCCCCAGGCGGCCGGGCAGCTCCTCGGGGGTTTCAGGTCCCGAGAGGGCCAGGCTGTCTCTGCACAGTGGGTGCTGAGGACAGGTGGCCCGTGAGCCAGCAAGTCGATGAAGCGATCAGACGGGCCAAGAGCCAGAAGCTCACGTGGTCCCGTTGCAGAGGGAGAGACCCTCACGGCCACCGGTGGGCCCTTCTGAGCCCCCACTAGCCACTGTCTCCTCCACCTGAGGCCGCTCATCCACGGCAAACACGGGTTTCCTCCTCGCCCGGGACGCCCACTGCTTCCTTCCTTCAGTTTCACGCATCGCTTGACCCTGAACCCGCTCGGCATCTCCAGCTCCGTGCGGCTGTGGTCTTGCTCTAAATGTCTGTTTGCCTGGGCCGCAGGCCGCGCGGCTGCCTGAGATGACAAGGATGCCATTTCCATTGCAAGCCAATGTCACGAAGGAGAAAGGAGCCTTTGTTCGTGGGTATCATCCCAGCTCCAGGACTGAGGCCCCTGAGGCCGAGGAAAAGAAGACAGCAGGGAGGGGGTGACCTGCCCAGGCGAACAGGAAAGTGTGACCTGCCCAGGTAAACAGGGAAGGATCAGAAACCCAGTTGGGCTGGTGGGATGACCAGCCAAGGTAAACAAAGAAGTCCTATCAGTTCAGGTGAGCAGGGAGGAGTAATGAGCACAGGTAAGAGGAGGCAACATCGACCCAGGTGAGCCAACACTCAGGTTTGCCGGGGCGGAGAAGAGTGACTCTCGCGGCACAAGGACACGACTTCGGGCTCTGGAAGCACACACAGGCATTGTTCGGCGTCAGGTGTTCCCGCCCCGGGGCTGTGCAGGACTGCTGCGAGCGCATGAGCTGCCCCCACACATCCACACACACCCGCTGAAGGCTCGATTCTACATAAACTCCAAGATGTTTGGTCCATTTGATTAAAACTCGTAAGACGTAGCACACTCTCGCCTGTTTTCTTGGGCAGTTTAATCTGCGTGGAATGAGACTTGTGCACGACCGAGGGCCAGCATGTGAGAATCAGCTGTGCCCCTGTTTCGTGAAGGGTCCGCGCCACTGAGCCTGGGACTCTGTGACTGTTGTCCCTGCATGCAACAACCCCCACGGTGCACCTTTCTCTCTGTCGGAGACGGGGGAGATGCAGAACTGCCCTATGGAACCCTGAAAGCCAGTATATTCAAGGATAAATCTTCCTCTGTGATGGACGCAGAGCTCATGAGTGATACCCCAGTTACGGACACCCCAAGGCCAGGGCACGCCCTGTTGAAACAGCGGTGAGGCTGGTGCTGATTCCGGGCCCAAAAGCCCCGGCTTTGTGAGGAGTGCGCCCTCGGAGGGTGGGCTGCAAGGGGACCAGGAGGCCCTGGGGCCGGGCCGGGCAGGCCTGCAGCACGGCGCCCTTTCCTGTGAGCACGGGCTGCCCGGGGCCCCGGGGCTGCTGCTGGGCTGCCCTCATTGCCGGCTTCCTCTTGGTCATTTTGGATCTGTTTTGCCAGAAAGCAAGTGGGTACACGTCTTAGAATTACGTGCACAAGGAGAATGAACAGGACCGACCCAAGAGCCCGTGGCCTTGAGAAACCAAACCGCGCCAGCTCTGAAACGTCTTTTCTGTTGTTCACACAGAGATTTCTGTTTCCTTTCAGTTATGTCGATGGAAGCGAAGCATGAACATAAGTAAGTCTTCATGGTCGATAACCTCGTGGCCATGGCCAGCTCCGGCCCCCCGGGCTCACCTGTGGTTTCTCGTACAGCCCCTGCAGATGCATGCCCCGGTGTTCTCCAGTAGCTCACATCTCGCCCGACCTTCTGCAGGACACCGCCTGCGTCGGAGCGGGTCTGCCACAGCCCGTGCCCTCTGCCCCATCTCCCTCCCCCCAGTCACGCCAGAACAACCCAGTGGGAAAGCTCTTCTCCGCTGTCAGCCGAGGGGTAGTAAGTAAGAGCTGTTCATTTCAACGCAGCTGCAGCTCAGACTGCCGCCAGCCTTCTGTGCACTTCTCTGGGCAAACTCACCTCAAGGCCTGCTGCTGGAATTGAACTTCACATCCCTGGCGGGCTGGGCCTTCTGCTCCGTGGAATAGCCGGAGTCTTGCTTATATCCCTTTACTGCACTCCACCCTGGTTGCTTCTGCAGGACAGGTTTGTGTCCTCGTGCTCCACCCTCACCTGGTCAATAAGCCATCCCAAACCTATGTTGGGTCCCGACTTTCACACCCGAGGGACTGGTTATCTAAATAGAGACCGATACTCACTTCCTGTTGTGCTAAAACAAATTGCCACAAACTCAGTGTTTAAAACAGCACTAACTAAAACATGGAAGCAGCCCAAATGCCCAAAAGTAGATGACTGGATTAAAAAGATGTGGTACAAATACACAATGGAATATTACTGAGCAACCAAAAAAAGAGAAACACATGTCTTTTGCAGCAACTTGGATGGAGCTGGTGAAGATCATGCTGAGTGAGATAAGCCAGAAAG